GGGTTAAAATATTTGCTCTTTACAGAAAATATTACACTATAAGCTTTGTGCCTCCAAAGAATAGCTTGATTGTGGGCAAACAGAAAGCATGAGGCAGATTGCTGAGTTTGTAGGGCCTTTAATAAATGAACTGTTGATAAGTAAAAACAATACAAAAGAACAGGAAGTTCTCATCTATCAGTGCTCATAGCAGAACAGGAAATTGTCACCCACCAAACATAAGAAGAGGTGTTTGTACTGGAGCTGTTTTCCTTAAATTTACTGACACTCTGGACAAACAAATGACAGGTGGACCTCTTTAGATTTTTATGTACAAAACCGAGAACCATATATTACTTTTGTATTTGTATAATGTTTATAGACCAGCAAATTGATTTATTGTAGGCTGGGTTCTAGCCCACGAAAGCTTATGCCCAAATAAATTTGTTAGTCTCAGGTGCCACAAGGACTCATCGTTGTTTTTTTATTCTAACCAGTGTTTCAAATATTTTGATATGAATACAGAAATAGTTTTTCCTCTTTCCCCTCCACTCTGAGGGAGCCCTTAGGAGAACCCTCTCTTATAGCTGGGTCTCAAGGGAAAGTTAGCTAAAAGTTTTCTAAAAGATAAACTCTAGGAATTATTTTGGGGGAAGTTCTGGGGAAGTCAGATGATCACAGTGATTCCTTCTGGCCTTGGAATCTATGAATATGCCAAGCAGAAGGCAACCTTGTTCCCCAAGAACTAGAGTCGTGTCTAAGGGCAGACCTATACTAGAATTGCTACAGCAGCACCGCTGTAGTACTGCTAGTGCAGACACTCTCCAGTTGGCATAATTACACCACCTCCCTGAGCGGCGGTAGCTATGTTGGTGTGAGAATATCTACCGACATAGTGTGTCCACATCAGCTCTTAGGTCGGTGTAACTTATTTTGCTCAGGGGGTGGCTTTTCCACACCCCTGAGTGACTTAAGTTATATCGAAGTAAGCTGTAGTGTAGACCTGCCCATAGTTTCCTGTGTAACACTGTCACTATCTCACAGAGCCAGCCCTAAATAGTCTCTTATATTAGGAAAGTTATACTGCTGGTCACGTGATGTTGTGGAGATATGTAATATATGTGAAATTAAAATGAATGTTACTGTTTAGTTTTAAATAAATATTTGAAAAGAATCTGAAATGCTATTTTAAAAATTTGCTTACCAAAACCACAATAAAAAAGAAATGGATTAATGAGGTCAGGATTCATTCAAAATGTTCGAAAATACACCTCTACCCCGATATAACGCTGTCCTCGGGAGCCAAAACATCTTACCGCATTCTAGGTGAAACCACGTTATATCGATCGTGCTTTGATCCGCTGGAGAGCGCAGCCCCGCCCCCCCGGAGCACTGCTTTACCGCGTTGTATCCGAATTCGTGTTCTATCGGGTCGCGTTATATGGGGGTAGAGGTGTATAGAAAATGTAGATGAATGCATCCTAATTCCAGTCCAAAAAGTATGTTGCAGTGTAAAGGATGTAGTCATGAGCATTACTGTAGACTGTGTGTGTACATGATTTTGAATGGTTTACATTTGGGCAGGAGTGCAAGGCAGATGGCTCCACTGCAGAAATTCTGTGAATTGACCAATGGATGTGGCAGAACAGCAGTGGGTTTGAAATCCTCCTAAAAATAAGTGCATTATTGTTGTCTGTGAGCCATGCTCAGCTTCACAAGCCCTGGGCCTAGAATGTGGTTTGTTTCCACACCTTAGGTTATCCACTGCTAGATAAGAGAGCTGCCTCTTAATGATAGGGATAACTGTAATCCTCAGCTTTCCATCCTGGAGTTACTACTGTGTGTTCCCCAAAAGTACACATCATGCTTTATTTTTATTACTCAACTTTACAGGATTTACTGTTTTGAAGCCTGGACATAACTTTAGGTTTTTCTCTCTCCTGCCAAGGCCCACTCCATACACAGTATTCAACCGTTAGAAAAATAGAGCATTAGAATGTGCAGTGTTTCAGAGCTGCTTTTTTCCAATCCTTCCTCTTTTACTTGTCTAATATGGTCACTTATATTGAAGGAAGTTAGTTATTGAGGGGGAGGGCTTGAAAAGAATATTTTGAATGGTTTTAGCCTCCTTCCACTTTAGTATTCTTTCCCTGAATGTAGGTTACATTATAGCAGAAAGCTTGTAAAAAAGAGTACAGGTAAATTAATATGAGTTCTAGTATTCAGTGAATACCCATATACAGTCTTCAAAATATTGACAACTACCTTAGGACCAGGGC